GCATTTGCATAGTCTTTGCAACAATGAATGTGTACACGGTTGACTTTCTCTTATTTTTTCAAACTTGCCATCATTTCGTAGTTTACACTTAACAGATTTTCCAAACCTACAAATAACAAATTTATAGCTAAATAGTATTTTGTTTGAATATTCATTTGTATATTCATAAATAGCATACAAAAGCATAATTAAACAAACAAATTAAAAGGGACAATATCACAATTATGTTTTGAAAAAGTATAAAGTAAAAGACTTACCACTAAAGAATAATTAGTGGATTATGTTGCAACAATTACTTTATATACGCGTATCTGAAGCCTCAAAAGAATTACAGTCGAGGAACAATGACTTATAAGCTAGCTGTGAACATTCAAAGCCGCAAGTTAATGCTATAATATAGTTTTACGTTGTAATTAATTTTTTAGATAGTCAGTTGGTGAGAAATATAATAAATTAAACGAAAAGTAATTTCTTTATTATCACAGGAAAACAAAACTAAATTTCTCACAATTGTAAATAATATGGTTTTTTATGAATTAACTTAATTAGATTTCAGTTTAGGTACATAGAATTCACCTGAGAACAAACTCCACGCATTAAACAGTTAAGAATCGCTACATTAAATCTTCAACACTAATTTTAATATATATATAACAAATATAGCATAACAATATAACAAATAATTTCTTATCTCAAATAGATATGAGCTAATTGAGTTGGTATTTAATACACAATATTGTAAGTGTATTTAAAAAGCAGCCATTTTCAAATTTTATTATCTTTTTAGCTGTCATCTTTTAGCTGTTTGGCTCAAAAATAAAAAAGGTGAAAAATGAATTCCTTGTTCTTAAAAACATAATACTAAATGCAAAAATCATTTTTCTAAATCATCTACAAACTGAGATATTAAAATTTCATTTTGGATGTCATCTTGGACACCATCTTGGGTTCAGCTTCATTCAAAATTTGGCCAATTTTATCCAATATTAACGAGGCGTGCATGCTGAACATTTCCAACAATTTTTAGCTTGCTCCTATTTTTTCAAGGTAACATTTTTGCTAATTTTACTGAGCTATAAGCTTAAAATAAGGAAGCTTAACCTTAAAGGGATCCGAAACTCCCAATAGATGTTGAGATCATATTAAACTAAATGTTGAAAAAAAGATTTGAATTAAGTTTTTTTGATTAAAAATAAATATTGAATGCATACTGAGAAAAACTAATCTCGTTGTATTAGTTGAAGCTTGCCTTCTCCATTTTACTCAAAAAATCGGAGTCTAATTTATATGTCGCAATCTACAGACTTTAGCAATTCCTTTGAAGCGCATTTAATTCATAAAAGTTTTAGTATTTGAAGTCATGATAGACTTTTGACAAATGAAAAATGTAATTAAATAAAGCAGTACTTCTGCTTTTATATAAAATGTTGTAATAATTTTTTAACATACAGCAAAATTTATTTGTATTATTTTTCCAAACATCGCAAAAAAAAAAAAAACATGTATTAAGTAAAAGTAATAAATTATTTTTATTTTATAGGCATAACTTATTTTTTACAGGTACCTTAAAATTTTTTAGATATATATATCTTACTTATATTTCTTTTGTTTTTAAATTTAAAAACAAATATTAAAGCTTTACTTACTAATCTTATGACTTTCATACAAGTATTTTACATTATATAGAACGCTATATATCAGGGCTCTTGTTTTTGGGCAAGAGAGCACAGTATTATATATTCTGAATCTTACTTAATTTCATTTAAACAATGGGAACTATTTTCTAACTTCTCTGGTCATTATTATGCTATAAGTTTTTCTTTCTCATATCTAAAAAAAATATTTATTAACAATTAATTTCATTAACTGACAGTATTAATTATACAGGGTGGCCCATAAGTCACTTTACATTTTAAAAATTAAATAACTTTTTCTTAAACGACTGTATTTAATTAATTCTTTTTTTATGTCAAAGTTTAGAGTCTGTAAGTTAGTTCTGACTAGATAATGTCTCTTAAATAGCCTCCATTCTTGTCTTCACAATGTCGAGCTCTTTTTAAGCTATTCTCTACAACACTTCTTAACATCTGAGGTTGTAGGGAAAGAATTTCCTGTCGTATGTTTGCCTTGAGATCTTGAATAGTTTGGGTACGCTTATTTGCGTACACTTTGTCTTTAAGATATGCCCAAAGCCAAAAATCTGGTGCTGTCAAATCAGGAGAACGTGGAGGCCATTCAAAATCGGATTTAAGAGAGATTATCCGATCCTGAAACATTGCAGTTAACAACTGCATTGTGGCTCTAGCGGTATGTGCAGTTGCTCCATCTTGTTGCCACTAATACCCTGCCAGGTTTGCTAACTGAGGTTGAACAAAATTCGCTAGCATGTCTTGATATTTTTCAGCAGTTACAGTCACAGCATTTTCATTTACATCTTCAAAGAAGAAGAGCACAATAACCTTTTCTGATGTTACTCCACACCATGTTGTGACTTTAACTGGGTGTAATTGACTTGCATGAACTTGGTGTAGATTTTCAGTGCCCCAGAATCTGATGTTCTGCTTATTCACATGTCCGTTCAAATGGAAATGAGCTTCATCTCCCATGATCAACTTGTGAATAAACTCATTGTCATTTCTTGCAGTTCTCTGAAACCTGACAGCATAATTTAGTTGTTTCTGAAAGTCTGGTGGTTGTAAAGATTGCACTAATTGAATCTTGTAAGGGTACATATCCAAGTCTCTTTGAATGCGCTGCAGAGAACTCCGTGAGATGCCAAGTTCTTGAGAACGCCTTTGAGTGGATGTGGTTGGGTTCTCTTCAATGCCACGGCTGGCAGCTTCAGTATTTTCATGTGTACGTTCTGAACAATTTCGTCCACTTCTAGTCCTATCACTTACAGAGCCATGCTCTTGAAAACGCGTCACTAAGTTCATTATTGCAGGCCTACTAGGGAGATATCGAACATTAAAATGGCGCATATACGATCTTTGCATTGCAACAATTGACCGTCCATTTTCAAAGTAAAATTCACTTATCTTCACTCGTTGTTCTATTGTAAACGTATCTATACTAAAAATTTCCAAAGATTATATTTTTTAATTCTGAAAAGAGAAATAGAAATATATTAGTAGAAAAAAAGTTATTTAATTTTTAAAATGTAAAGTGACTTATGGGCCACCCTGTAGGTATTTGATAAACTGTTAAATTTTTTTAATATATAATTTTTTTAATTACGCTGATTTAATTTAAATTGTCAAAATATGGTAACGTATGTTAAAAAACAAATTATATTTGGTATTTCCAAATTTAAGTGTTGTATTTGGCTTTTGTTTCCTTACATGGAAAATTAAAAAACTAACAAAATTGACAAATACAAGTTTTCCAATAAACGTTACAATAATGCACAATTTCGCATAATAATTACTTTTGTCATAATAATTACTATTTTTAAATAAAACAAAATACAAAATACATGTTTTTCAAAATAAATTTAATTAAATATATTCTTACATGGCTAAATAAGATAAATTTTGTGAATATGTGTAAACACTTGATAAGGATTTTACTAAACAATAGACGATGTGATGTCTGACTTTTTTTGCACAAAATTTGAGTAGTTCGGAATGTTCAAACAAGAAAGCTTTGTTTTTTCTCTAATACAATTTTCATACTATGAGAACAAATACATTCCTAGGGCTTTTTTTGACCTTAGAATAAAACAATACAATATCGCATAACTTTAGGGGCTTGATATTTATTACTTAGTCGTTCTAAATAATAAGTAAATTTAGTTTAAGTTAATATTTCAATATTAACAGTTGCAATATAACAAAAAAAAAAAAGTTTAATGTTGAATTTTTCATTTAGTTATTTTTACCTAATTTTGTTATAAAAAGACATTAAAATCATTTTTTTAAAATATATTTCCCCCCGTCACTAAAATCATTTAAATATATTTTGACATGATTATTTAAACTAAGTTTTTTCATTTGACTTCCCGAACTTCATGCAAACCAAATTCAGACGAAATATTGTCTAACCAAATAAAAATGCTGTTACTAATTTTATACCGGTAATTAATATGAAACAATTTTTTATCAGAACCTTGATAGAGATAAATACTTCATCATTTATGAACATTAAATATAGCCCAATAACAATTTGTATCAACAAACGAGCATAAAATATTGGAGATTTTTAATACCTTTTTAAATGTTAAAACTAGAAAATAAATAACTTAACAAATAATGAAAAAATTTATGAATAAAAATAAATAAAATTTTTCCAGAGTTTCCATTTGTTGAAACTCTATCATGACGTCAAATACTAAAACTTTTATGAATTAAATGCAAATTAAATCAAAGTCTGTAGATTGCGACATATAATTTAAAGACTTTGGATTTTTGAGTAAAATGGAGAAGTTTTGACTAAAACGACAAGGTCAATTTTTCTTGGTATGCATTCAATACTTATTTTTAATAAAAAAAGTTGGTTCAAACCTTTTATTTCAACATTATCTTTAATATGAACACAACATCTGTTAGAAGTTTCTGATCTGTTAGGGATCTCTTTAAGGAGACTTAATAAAATTATGTTTCAGATGCTAATGGAATAACTTTAGAAAAACTAATTTTCGAAAACTATGCATACTTATGTAACTAATTGGCAAGCGTTACTACTTAACAATTCTTGTGCTAACGAAATTATCTGCATTATCGTAATACCAAAATATTCAAACAACTTTGCAAACCAAAATTCATTTTCATTCAGACTTATGGCTCAGAAATTTGACAGTAAATCAGAATGATGGAAGTTTTCAGTAGTTAAAACTTGACATTTGTTTTTGCTTAACACAAAAAACTTTTGAAAATATTTTTGTGGAGGCCAACTTTTTAAAAATAAAAATAAAAAGCTACAAAAGAAATATAGAGAACACACCATAAGCATTATTTACAAATAATATAATTTGAATAAACTTTATTATAAAACTATCAAACCTGGTCTTTGTGTTCATAAAACGTATGAATACATTGTCGTGTGCTCGCATCCCATATTTTTACACTTTTGTCGCTTGATCTGTTTCCATAACAACAACAACAATATCAAAAAAGAGTTTAAAAAAAAAGTAATATAATATTTATAAAAGTATTTTCAACAACAAACAACAAGAAAAATTTACGCAGAAACAAAATGTTTGTTGTCTGGAGAATAGTCAACAGAAACAACCCATGAACCATGTCCTGATAGAGTACCAGCTAAGTTTGCATGTTGTACATCATACATCTTTAAATGACCATCATCTGATGCTGTTAACAGTATTTGTGAATCTGGTGAAAAAGTCAAAGATCGAATGGGCATGGCATGGCCTAATAGATAAAATTCTCTTAAAAAATATTTAAAATTCATTTTTATGTTACATTATTATTATTGTTATTATTATTATTATTTTTATTATTATTGTGTTAGACAGTCTCTAGAAAGAACCCATGAAATTTATGGAATTTTCCCATTACTTTCTTATGATATTGAGTTCAGAGTTTTTAGAATGTGAACTTTTATAGTTTTGTAGTGCTCTTAAAGAATTTATTTTTTATTATTATTTTCTTCAGTAAAAATAAACAATTTTCTATTAAAGAGATTTCTAAATACTATAATAAACATTTCATTTGAACAAAATTTAAAAATTAAAATAAGTTATATATTTGTATAAATATATATAAATACAATAATAAAAACATGCATTTCAACAATTTCAATATTTTAACATTTCAAAAACGTGTTCAAAAATATGCTCAACATTTTAAATTCATTAAACATTTTAACTTGAAAAAAAATTAAAAGTTAAAATTATGGTCATTAAAAACCCATAAAAAGTTTTGTGATTTAGTATTTTGTAATATGCTTTATTAAAAAAGTAAATTATATATTTAAAGATGATTGTACAAAAAAATATTTGATTTTATATTTTGAGTTGATATTACATATAGATTGATATTGTTAAAGTAGATGCACTTAGACGCAAAAGAATTTCATCTTTAGAAAATTGATGTTAAAGTCTATGTTTTCAATTTATAAGTCATAAGCCTTAACAGCTTTTAGAGTTTAAAAAACTATTTTTTTTATACTAAAAAAAAAAAAAAAATATATAACTTATTTAAATATAACATATAAATATAACATATAAAAAAAAAACTATAACATATATATATAACAAAAAAAAAATACTATATAACATATAAAAAAAAGGAAATACTATATAACATATATGAGATATGTAATAAAATATAAATATTTTTATATAAAATATAAATATGATAAGCTCTTTTATTCTCAGTTTACTAATTCATGTATCATGTATCTTATATCAGATGTTTGGTTTTGAAAGTTTTTTTTAGTCTTCAACTATGTCATTAACTAAAGTTAGTCTAACATTTATTCTCTAATTCATGGGTCTGATCTTTTTACTTCTCCCCAGAATAAAACATAGTTATTTGCAAAGAAATCTTACTCTAATTTGACTCTTGAATCTAATGGCCATACTTTTCCTGCCAGTTAAGCAGATTAACCAATTGTTAAACATCCAAATCACTCTGGCTTCCAATGCTAAAGTTAACTCTCAATTCTAGAGTTTGTGCTTCAGACCATAGTCTTAAAAAACTTTTCTCAAGAATTCTCTTCAATTTTTATAAAGTGCTAAATAGGTGGTTCTGATTTTTCAAAACTCTAGAAAACACTTTGACCTCATTAACTATCCTTAAATTAGTCTTCAATCTGTTATTAGCTACTTTATATAAAGGGGAGTTTACTTATTTCAGTTTGTAGTCCTGAAGCAATTACAACTGTGATGAGGATGGGGGTAGCACCATCCAAGTGGGCATATCTTAAAAATTATATCCTTATTTCAGTTGTCATCATGGAGTGAATGAAGGTGCAACAAGCATACGGTGTTGAGACATACTTTTGTAATGGTCATTCTATCATCACTACGCAACATGCATTTTGTGCCCATTTCAGTATTAGACCCCATTACACGGTGTTCCTGGCTAAATTTTAATTGTTTTATGAGTAAATAACTTCAGAGAAACTGGTGATGTAAAAAAGAAAATATGTGGACTTCCTCAAAAGTGAGATCATCTGAAAAGATTGACATGGTAAGGCAATTTGCGTTGCACTCTCCTAAGCATTTTGCAGGTAAACATGCAGCTACTATTAGAATGTCTGCTTGCTTATTCAGACAATTCAATCATGAAGAACTAAAATTCCATCATCTAATGATAAGACCCACTTAATAAGCAGAAAATGCCTTATCGGAGCCAAAACAATCTCAGACAGCTTTATCAACGTCCTTTACACTCAGAAGATGTTACTCTTTGGTGTGCGATATCGCAAGTTGGAATAATTGATCCATGGTTTTTTGAAGAGAACAACAAGACATTCACTGTGACTTTAGACCAATATTTCAATATGGTTAAATAATTTGTCAGCACTTGAAGAAATGGGTGTGGTAGTAATGTGGTTTCAGCAGTATGGTGCCACGTCATACACTGCATGAGTGTCAATATATGTTTTGCAGGAACACTTTCCAGGACAATTCATCTCCTCAAAAGGCAATCTGCATAGGCTGACTTGGTTGTCTGATTTAACACCCAGCAACTTCTTCCTCTGGGGTTACCTCAAGTCATTGGTCTACAACAATCGCCTTATTAGTCTTAATGAATTGAAGAACAACATTTGTCAAGCTGTTGCCAAAATACTAGTAAAAAAGGCTGCAGAGAGTTTAAAATAACTTTCAAATTCGACTGAGACAGTGCATTGAAAATAATAGCCGCTATTTGCCTGACACAACTTTTAAAACTAAATAAGCATAAATTTTTAATGCTATTCCATATTCTGTTTTAAGAATGGTATTTACACTTGTAATTATCATTATATTTTATTTTTATTGAATAACTAAATAAGTAAGCTTCTCTGCTCCACCCTGTAATACTGAAAATTCATTAACAAAAAGTTTAAATAATGAATAAAATATCTAAATTCATTAATTTAACATAATTACCTTCCAATGTATGCAATAACTTTTTGCTTGTCATATCAAATATGTTTATAATACCATCAATGGCACCACACGCTAAATATTTTCCATCAGGGCTCTAAAAAATTATTTAAGTAGGCAAATGTAAACACAATTTTATACTAAAAAATAATTTGGATTAGAAAGTTGCACACTATTTAAAAAATAACTTAAATTAAAAAACAAAATTTTATATTATAAACTTTTATTAAAGGAAGTATTATATTAAATAAAGTCATGTAGAAAACATGTATTATATCATTCCAAAAAATATATGTAATTTATGATATTTATATAAATATAAATATGATTATTAAAACAGAAGCACAAACACTGCAAATTAATATTATTATTATTGATATTTTGACTGTGTAATCTCCTAGCAACATTTGTTGTTATAGCAACATTCATTATTGTAGCAACATTCATTGATGAAGTAACATTCAGCTATAACAGCTCAGTATTTGTTTACGCACACACACACATACACACACACACACACACACACACACACAAACACAACACACAAACGCACTGTATCACATGATTGCCAACTAAGTTAACTGTATTGCAATATTATCATTACAGAGATGGTTTTCCCAAAAAATGTTTACCAAACATTCTTTACAAGTTTAAGAAAAATTGATGAAAGCCAGGAATTTGTTTTGTTAATATTGACAAGTATATCAGGTGTTTATCAAATTAAAATTCTTTTTAATTTATAGTTCAAGCTGATTTGAAACTGACTTTAAGTAACATAAACTTTATATTTTTTAGCATTTTAATTATTAAGTCATAAAGGTTTTTTTATTTACAATGAATTATAATACTACTAATAAATCTTTTGTTTTATTTAGAGACAAGAAAAGAATTTCGAAAAAAATATATATATTTAAACAAACACAGGAACCATTTAAGTAGAAATTTAGTTTTACAAAGAGAAACTTTTTCAAGAGTGCTAGAGGAGGTTTTTGATGTAAGTCAAAAAAGCTGTGAAGATATTATGTCAAAAGATAAAACCAAGCAGGTATGGAAGCTTTTCTATTTGTTGGTTTTAAATCAAGCCTCATTCTACACCATGTTTTTCACCTTGTGCAGTTGCTATATTAAAATCAGTTTTTACAATAATATCTCTCTTGAGAATAAATGTTTTTTTATTATTGCAAGAAGTCATGTAAAAAAGGTCATGTCTGATGGTAAGCTCAGTTTACAAAATCTCAGATTATATTATTTTATCTTAATTTTTAAGGTCTGAGACTTTTAGAAAATCTCCAACAGAGTCATAACTAAAGTAAGTCCATCTCTAATTCATGGTATAACATTCCATCTCTAATTATGCTGTGTTATTTGCAAAGAACATTTCCTCTAATTTGACTCTTGAATCTAATAGCCATACTCTACACGCCATTTTAGTAAAACAGATTAACCTATTGTTAGACATCCAAGCCACTCTGGTTTCTGATGCTAAAATCAGTTCTCAAATTTAATCTTCTACAGCTTTTGGATAAGACAATATTTCCATCATAATCTTACAAAAGTGTTCACTAGAACTTTCTAGAACTAAACAAATATTAAGTGCTAAATAAGCAGTTCCAATATTTAAAAACTCTAGAAAACACACTGACCTCTCCAACTATCCAACAAATAGTCTTCTGGCATTAGTTTCATATAAAAGTTTTAGGATTATTAAATCATTTCTATCTAACCACATTATTAAAGTCATTATTGAAGGCCACTTCATTCCTGATAACTTTATTCACATTCACTCTTCTTCATTCCCAGTAACTTTAGTACCACAAGGGTCTGTTATTACTCCTGTATTGTTTCTACAATAACAATTTTCCTAAAAATTTTACATCTTTAGTGGCTCTATTTGCTGACAACTCAAATTTACACTCTTGTCATAACAAAAAATCTTCACCTTTTGATTTCTTAGAAAAGCAGCTGATTTGATCTGTAACAGCTTCAGGCATGCAGTGGCTTGTGGATTTTAACTCCAACAAAATTCAGTTGTTTACTTCAAACAACTATCACAATATTTTTGATTTTCCTTTATTGACAAATAAAAACTCTCGCAATCTCAAACAAAGTCCAACAGCACATTGGAAATATAACTGGACCTGCTTTATCTGCCAAACTTGAGCCACTCTCCCATTGTTGTAAGGTTGCACCTCTTTTTTTTCTACAAATAATATCATGGTCACTTAAACAGCTATCATCTAAAGTTCGATCAAATAAAACTTACTCTCACTTGGTCATTCAGCAAAGTTGCATACTTTTACTTTATCTGTCATAAATTTATAATCATCTTTCACATTAACAAAACCTGTCACCCATCTTCATTAAGGAGTCCCAGAAATTTTTTTTTCTTCAATACTGTGCACTATGGCAATCCTCCTTATTTGGTCCCAGTAGACCACCATACAAATATCTGGTCTTAAAGTCATTGTTAAGTTGAAGATGTTTTAGAAAAATGAGATTGCAGAGATTTTTTTTGCTTTTTATGATTTATTTTTATTTATTTAAAACTTTATTTTCAGTCAATTGTTTACAATAGTTTTATAATCAACAAAAACTAATTAAAATCAACACACTAAACTGTATAAGACAATACAAACAAACATACATATCGTGAATAAAAAATAAACAAAATAAAATAAAAATAGCTTATATAGTAAATAATATAAATACAACAAGTTGGTTATTTTTGACTTAAAATATAAAAATTAAAAAAAGTTTTTTTGACAGATTTTACAAAAACAAGATTTTCCGTACCATTTTAAAATTTTTTTGAACATCCTTAGACAATTTATTGACATAGTTTCATTGTCTAGGGAGTTCTATAGCGAGGTTGCTTTATATAAGTTACTTTTTATAAACTTATGTTTAGAGACTATGAGTGGGAGTACTAATTTTTTACTACATCAAAGACTTAACAGTAAAGATTTTTTGATAAAAAGATCTAACATAAAATCTGGATTTGAACCATTTATAGATTTAAAAACTTCAGTTAACAAAAACCTTAAATTTTTAAGGTGAATACTTGGGATATTTTCTATTTTTTGAATTTCTTCTAATGGGAGATCAAATCTTATAGACAATGCGAAGTCCTTTTTCATGAATTTTATTGATTAGGTTATATTATACTTCAAACAAAACATCTAAATCAAAGGACAATAGGAAAAATTTGATAGTATAAAAGCATTGAATAAAAAAGTATCTTGTTTTACTGATAAGAAGCTCCTTATTCGTGAAAGAGCAAAGCATTTACTATTCGCTTTTCCACATAGACTCTAAATATAATCATCAAATTTCAAATCCTTATTAATTATACCCCCAAGAAGTTTAAACTTAGAGGAAACCATGATTTTTACATTTTTAACCATTAAAATCGATCTTTACAATTTTTTGAGCCAGCTAAAAAAAATTTGAAATTTGTCCAGATTTGCAACCATTTTATTCAAAGTAAACCATGAAATCGCATTCGATGTTTCCATTTGAAGACAAGAAATAACACTCTCTAGGTTGTTGTCACAAACAGAAAGAGTGTTGTCATCAGCATAGTTGCAGATTTCAGAGTCTTTTATAAATAAGAAAAAATCGTTTATAAAAATATTAAAGAAAATTGGTCCCAAAATTGAGCCTTGAGGTACACCCAATTCCATATCTAAATATTCAGAAAATGACGATCCTAGTCTTACCCTCTGTTTGCAAGCAGAAAGGTAAGATAATAAGAGTTTGAGGCTATTGTAAGAAAACCCATAACCTTCCAACTTAGCTATAAGCAAATCATGTAGAATTGAATCATATGCCTTTGATAAACCCATAAGCATAGCGCCAACTATAACTCCTTTATCCAAGCATTCTTGCTACTTATTAACTAAATTAAAAAGTGCGTGCTGTGCACTATACCCTCTCCGAAATCCACACAGCAATTTGTTAAAGCTTGGCTCTATAAAAAACCCTACTTTTTGTAAATAATGATTTCTAACACTTTTGAGAGAACTGGCAGAATAATTATTGGGCGGAAGTTACACTTATCAGTAGGGTCATTTTTTTAAAAACATGGTATGATATCGGCCATGACATTGGGATATGCAACTATTTATACAAGAAGTGAGGCTTTCTCTCAAATTCGTGACATAAGTTTTTAACATAAATGTTGGAATATCTCCTGTCTTCTTTTTACTATTTAAAAAATAAATAATTTCTGTTATATCATCAGAGGTAATTTGATAAAATTTAAAATTTTGAAGATACATTTTGGATTTGTTTTTAATGTTTATAATACTGGGATGGTTTGCATATCTTATAATAGCAGATTCAACAGACACATGTACATTTCAAGGAGAAGGACGATAACTCATCTCACTGTTTATAGGAAACGTACAACGTTTGTGAAATATAAGTTGAAAATGTTTGAAATTTGAAATTTGAAAGTTATCCAAAATGTCTCCATGTTCAATCAACTTTATGCGATCGCTCGAATTACCAGATTTATTAGAAAAAAAAAGCTTGCATATCTTGAATAAATTTATCTCACTAAAATACATTTTCTTTGCTTTTTTATTCAAGTTCACTACGTAGTTTCTTTGTTTCCTATAAAGAGACAAAGAAATGTCTGATTTTTTCAATCAGAAATTTTTTTTTAAATTTTGAGCGAAGCATGAATGCTTTTCTAAAACTCTTAGTCACAAATGGCTTATTGTTACCTCTTAAGATTTTGTGTTTTCAATGGAGCATATAGATTTAAATAGTTGCTAAAGATAGCGTTAAACTCATTAATGTCATTACAAAATCTTAATTTATTTTTTATTTTTTCAGAAAATATAACACTTGAAAAGTTTTTAAAAGACCTGTAAATTAATTTCTTGGAGGTAACTTGCAGAAGGTAGCCCTGAGCATTGTAAAAATAATCCTGATGGTCACTAACACTTGTACAGATAGTCAGTGTTGGAAACACGTCTTTCTATTTGTTAGGATGAGATCTATGCAGGTGGGTTTTACAACCAATTTAAAACAAGTTGGTGCTTTAATTAAATTACTTCATTGATAGGCAGAGAAACTTGTTCATTATTTAATCATGAGGTTGTTAAAACAAGTTGGTGCTTTAATTAAATTACTTCATTGATAGGCAGAGAAACTTGTTCATTATTTTATCGTTGTAAAAACTCTGATTATCAAATATCAAAACTAGAGAAATAAATTTTAAATAAATTATCAGTTATTAGGATGTTGCAAAACAGTAGCAGTATATATTGTATACTGCTACTTAATTCTAATTTGAGTATATAAACTTAATGACAATTTTTACATAGATGTAAAATATATATAAAAAAGTGATAATTTTGTGATTGATTATTGTGATCAATTCTGTTGTAATTAATAATATTGTAAATAATATTAAATATGGCTAATTCTGGACATATTGGGAAAGTTAGTGAAAAAAGAATTATCTGTTTGGGTACTCTCTCCAGATATTTTCTCTAGATTTCCAACCGGTGGGGAAGTTTGTAACAGAATTTAATGGATTAATGGTAGTCATGCAGCTGCAATCAAAACATTACAATCAAAACATTACAATACAAAAAGGAGGTCCTCGGGGGAGTACAGGCAAGCTTAAATACAGTGGTGGTATGTGTTATTTCTGTTATCAACAGAAACACAATATCAAATGTGTGCATCATAAGAGAGCTGGGTATTATTTGGAACAATCCTTCAATGAAAATTTTATCATCAGTGAACAGTCAATTAAGCGACTAAATATAAAAATCTCTTGTCATAAAAACTAAGTATTCTGTGAAACATATTTATCTGTGAAATATATTTACTTATAAGTTTTTATAGTATTTTTTAAAATGTTTACATTTTTAAACATTGTAACTTATTAATTTAGGAATAGAATCATCGCTCGAACCATCAATATACTGAGCAATGACTCTTTTCCTATATTAAAAAAGTAAAGCATTTACCATCTGTATAAGATGAGAGCCCAAGAGATGAGCAAAGAAACCATGAGCCAACACACTTCTTAAACAAGGTTCTTAAACAAGGCCAATATTATGTATTCTATACACAAGAAAGACATTTTTAAATTAATTAGCCAGGATCCTAGAAAGAGGCTGAAAAGGAGGATTCTATTATTTTGAAGGGATGGTTGAAAGGGGACATGGTCAAGATGTCCTAAAAAAATGACAAAACATTTGCTGAAATAGTTGCTAAAGGTGAGGAAAGGATGAAAAACCTGCTGAGGAAAATGGTAGAAAAAGATCAACAAGAGACTCAGAGCAATTATTGAGCAAAAAAAAAAAAGAAAAGGAAAAAGCTGGAAACTACTGGAAAAAGCAGCAGAAGTTTTGAGAGATTTTAAGCAGGAATTCTCCAGTGGGTGTAATGTAATTATGATTCAGACATTAAGATTCTATTAAGATACTGCAAAGAAAAAAAACCAAGATTTGCCTTCAACTCAATCTGAATGTTTTAGATAATTGGATTCCATTTATGACAAGGTAAACAAGTTTATGTATAAAAAAATGAAGTATATTACAAACACACATAAAACTTGAAGTTAAAATAACTTAAATATTACATAATTTTAAAAAAATATATTGCTCTATGTTAATTGGTTATCTCCTCTATCTATTAATATTGTACAATTGCAATGCTCTATATATTTTTTTAAAATTTTTAAATTTTTTAAAAGTTAGCATGAGAGCTAAAACAGTAATGTTGTTTCTATTTCAAGATGGAGGAGTAGATTTTTGAACATTTGAGTTGAACATTTCTAAGTCGCAGATAACAAGAAAAAGTCAAAAAATTATAGAGAATGAAGTGCTTATAGTAAGAAAGCAGAGCCTGGATTAGATAAAACTTATTCTTCACTTTAACACAAACTTGGTCAAACAGTGCAGGAGGATATGATTTTGGAAACAGTAGAAATTTGTCAATCTCCAAAGTCCAGTTCCTTGACTTTCTTTTGGGAGTACTTGAAGTACCCTGCTCCTAAGGGAAAGATCAAGCACTGGCTATCCAAAGTCTTGTGGAATTTTATGATTTAACAGACCAGATCATAGCTTGTTGCGCTGACACAATTCACTCGAACACTAGAAAACATCTTTGTGCAATTAGAAATATTGCCGATTATTCTCTAATATGTCCAATTCTTTGGCTAATGTGGCTAATAAAAAAATACGATTTTGCACAACAGCTCTAATATGTCAAATTCTTTGGCTAATGTGGCTAATAAAAAAAATGCAATTTTGCACAACAACTCAAAACAAATATTTTTGACAGAGGTGATTACCAGTATTTATGTCAACTGGTTGCTTTTTACCTCAGAGCAGATTTGTTGGACTTCAGGTTCTACAATCTGGTGCGCATCACAAAGCAAGTTTTATGGCTGATTCATTATAGCTGTTAGCAATGCAAATAACCAAGAATTACAACAAGCAACTCAGTCTCAATGAGATTAAGATGATACTGGTTGCAACAGATTATATTGCAATCTTTCACAAGAGCCCAATGGCAGCTCAGGTTCCATTCAATTATCTTAGACTATTCAAGATTTCATTGTAGATCATGATAGATGCACTTTACTCCAAGAAGTATGGAAAGATTGACAAAGCTGGTAATCTTAGTATTCTCTAATTCTTAGTAGACACACTTGATATTTTACACCACAGTGTTTCATCTTTGCTTCAGCTGACCAGCACTTAGAGGAAAAAGAGAAGATGCATATTCTTGTGGAGTTGTTAAAATATGAAGTTCCAAGATAAACAGCTTTGACAAATAACAACCAGAACCTTTTACACAGGTCTGTCCCCTCTCAAATTCATCAGACTTTGTTTCTTATTTGTCTTATCCCTTTTTTCTCTATCTTGGTATAATCAAAGATGACATTCTCTCATGGCAAGAGGAAGGCATGTCAAATTTGTAGAAAAATCTCAACAATAGATTTTTCAAGACATCTGTATCCAGTGTATGTCAATTAGCAGTTGTTAATGACAGGGTTGAAAGACACATCAAATTGGTGCAGGATTTCATTGGAAAGACAGATTCCGAAGACAGGCTCCAAGACACGATGATGATGGTTTTAGACAACCACCAGAAGGTATTTAACAATGCCATTAAACAAGACTTAAAGAATATTTAGATAAAAAAGCACTTTATGGCTATATTTTTGTTTTTTAAAAATTTATTTTTACAAACAAAAGTTTAATAATTCTTGCACCGCTTAATTTTTTTATTTTGTATTTTGTAGTAGTTCATTTTAAAAAACATTTTAAAACAATGTAATTATTATAAAGAATAAGATAATTAAAAATTTTTTTCAAAGTTGCAGTGAGTGTAGCAGTCAGTAAAAATTTATAAGCGACTACAATAGAAACAATTATTTCTAAAACAACTTCTTCAGTGAAACAGTGACATTGACCCCATATATTTTTATGGTGGTCTACTGGGATTAAATAAGGGGGATTGACATTATACACAATATTAAATTCAAAAAAAAAAGTTTTATGGGACACCCTAATCTTCATGCTTTTTAGATCATACAACCTACATCTTTCACAGTCTTCACTTTACTATTTCCTTTCTCTTTCTTTAATCAAATCCTTTGTTTTCTAATAATTCTTAACTTAATAATGGCTGCAACCTTGTCAGAAATGAATTAGTTTTGACAATAACTTACAAGATTGTAACATCATGTGACATTTATTACACTAGCCATATGGAGGTCACATAATAAAGTCCCTTTGAGCATGTGTGGTAGTAGACTAGGAATAAAACATTTGGCAATAAAACATGATCAAGAGGTTCAAATCCATTTTGTGTTTAGTCTGTTTCTCTACATTGTTTTAAAATGTTTTTTGATTCTGAGACTATCACCTTACTCTTTGTTTTTTATCATTCTATAACTTCTGTATTTTTTAATATCTTACTAAGATTACTTACTTAGTTTTTTATGACTCATTTTAGAGACAACCCTAATCATTTACCTTTCTCCTTTATTTGTGTCATGTCTCTAACTCTAGCTTGTGTTCAGTTTCTCCTTGTTCTTTCTTTGAGGGGTTTTGACCATTCTATTCTAGTTACACAGTATAACTGATTGTTAGACATTCAAATCACTCCAACTTCTGTTGCTAAAGTTATATCTCAATAAAACTCTTTTACGACTTGTGGTCCAGACAACATTCTTGACATAGTTTCTTATTTTGCAGTGAAATATTAATTTTAAAAAAATGTAAGTAGAATATAAATCAGGTTACCTAGCAATATTACCCTAACAGCAGTCAAATTACCCTAGCAGCAATATTACCCTAACAGCAGTCAAATTGCCCTAGCAGCAATATTATCTTCTAAAGCAAAAATGTATATGCCTGCTGCTAGAATAAACTTGCTGTTGATAGATAATAATTAGAACTATATAAATTAATAATAACTAAATAGTTCTAATACTAAATATAATACTATATATAGGAATATAACTAAATAACTAAATATAATACTATATATAGGAATATAACTAAATAACTAAATACACCACCTTTATTAACATTTATGGAAGGGTTAATACTAACAGTTATACCTTTATTAACAGATTTTTTTATTATTATTATTACAAGGCAACAAGTGAGAAGTGATCTTTACTAATAGTGTATTAATAATACTCACATAAGCAATACTCATTGTAAATTTACTTCTTGTATCAAGAGTTTCTTCTTTTATGCCACTTTCAACTCCAATCAAGTTTACTTTGCCTGTATGACTGCCTGTAGCAATATACCGTGAATCAGGTGAAAAAGTGACTGTCCAAGAATCAACTAAATTTTTATAATAAAATTAAAAAAAATAATGTAAAAAATAGCAAAAAAATAAATAAACAAATAACATAACAAAACAAAATTTTTTAATAAATATACCTGGGCCAAGATCAATGCTCTTGATTTGTTTACCTTTATCTAAATCCCATATTCTTATGTGACTATCTAAAGAGCTGGATGCACCTACTAAAAATTTTAAACTATGCATATATGTATGTATACATACATATATACTATGTATGTATGTATGTATGTATGTATGCATGTATGTATGTATGTATGTATGTATGTATGTATGTATGTATGTATGTATGTATGTATGTATGTATGTATGTATGTATGTATGTATGTATGTATGTATGTATGTATGTATGTATGTATGTATGTATGTATGTATGTATGTATGTATGTATGTATGTATGTATGTATGTATGTATGTATGTATGTATGTATGTATGTATGTATGTATGTATGTATGTATGTATGTATGTATGTATGAATATATGTATATATTATAATGAATAATGTATGTATGTATATAAGGGGTGTACCGAAATGGAAACTTTGGATTCTGGCCGGCACTGGACTTGCTAGAATTGCTTTTAGAATTCCAGCTGGAATAAGAATTTTTATGTAATTTTTTACTTTCAAGAATCAAAGTGAAAACCTGCACCTCAGCATCATGGTTATATAAAACAAGGATTGAATTATAATTAATGATTGCGATATCTAGAAAAATATCTGATCTTCAAAATTTTAGTTTATGCAAAACTGTGTGCTTTGTTTTGATGGCGCAAATTAGGTTAAATTTGTTAGCAAATAAATTATAAAAACAAAACAAAATAATAAACTTACCACTACAAAAGTACTAACACTCTAGTCACTAACTAAATTATACAAGTAATAACAGTATAATTATGTTATTACTTTTATAACGCACTTATAACCTTCATAATTTATTCTTTGTTTAAACAACATAAGTAATTCCAAATATTATTTTAGTAGAAAACCATCTATATATATATATATATATATATATATATATATATATATATATATATATATATATATATATATATATATATATATACATCAGGCCTTGCGATAAAGCGTCGGGCGATGTGAATTTTACGTCGTCCAAGGGCGATTTTGCGTGTAGCTAGGGCTATTTGCGTCGAGCAAAAAAATTTTTGTTTGAGTATATTTAAAGATATTTTTGAGCGGAATTTTAATGAAGTAATTTACGATTATTTTAACATTTAATAAAGTATTTTAAAAACCGCACGCAGTTGAAATAAAAGTTTGAATTTAAAAAAATTAAATATGCTCATTATTTACAAGTAGAAAAAATTCAAAAATTAAAAAGTTTAAAAAATTAAAAAAATCTTTTAAGCTAAAAAAAAAATTAAAAAAATCTTTTAAGCTAACATTTTAATAAAATTATTCAGCAATAGCAACGTTGTCGATAAAATTGAACAAAAATACTTTCTTTTAGTTTTAGATTTTAAACTTAATATATATTATTAACTTAATAATAATTATTATATATAATATAAACTTAATATATAATATATATATAATATAAACATTAATATATATATAATATAAACTTAATATATATATAAACTTAATATAAATATAAACTTAATATATATATATAAACTATATATATATAATATATATATATAAACTTAATATATAATATAAACTTAATATATATATAATATAAACTTAATAACAATTATTTTACAGGGGTTTGATAGGTTTTAAAATTATTCCATAGATTTAAAAATATTTATTAACTGTTAGACGTATTTAAAGTATTTAAAAGTGATTTCGAGGAAACATTTTAAAAATTGGTGAGGGCAAATAAAAAAAAAAAAGATTAATATTAAAACGTATTCTACTTGATTCAATAAAAAAGTAGTTATTAAAATTTTTGTAAAAAGTAACTCAAAAAAATTACTTAAATAATAACGATCGCTTTTATGTTAAAAGTTACCGAAACTCATCGAAGCATGCTCAAGAACAGCTGCTGAAAAATAGAACGTCAATAGTTTTTTGAATAATTTTTAACAATAATTTTTAAGAATAATTTTTTCGCTGAAATATTTCTTTTATACCTATAAGATTTTTATTCTAACATTTTATTTTATTTTACTAGAAATAAAATTCCTTGTTAGCATTAAAAATCTATTCAAAACGTTTGTTTAAGTTTTTTATTAATACGAGTGATTGTGCTTATCAACCACTTTATGAAAATAAATAAAAATAAATAAATAAATATTATATAAAATCGCTTGTAAAAATATTAGCTATTGCACAGTTTTTAATCGTACAATATTAAAACTTCCAGTTTATTACTCGCTGACTTTTTAAAAAGAAAAAATAATTATTTGAAAAACTTTAAATTACATATTTAAGAAAAAAAAAATCAAATATTAGCATATTTTATAATCTTTTTTAAATTTAAGTTATAATGTTTTTTATTCGTTTAGTATAGACAAAACGTGACAAACGTCTAGAAAATAAACAAATGTTTTTACATTTTAAAAAACGAAACATTCCAAAACATTTTTAAATAATAACATTTCTACATAAACGATTTAAAGTAGTTTTGCGGTAATTAAATAAATTGGTGCAGTTAATGTCGATAAATATGAAAAGCAAATAAAAAGAATTTAATGATGTCAAAAATCACGTCGTGCTTATGCGTCGCGCAGTTCTTATTCATCGCAAGGCCTGATACATATATATATATATATATATATATATATATATATATATATATATATATATATATATATATATATATATATATTATCCTATTTCATTAATTTGATTATTGTTTCATTTTTATTTAATATGTTGTTTTATTTGTTTCTTATAATTTTATGTATTAAAATTTTAACTTGCATATAATTTGTATTTAAAATTATTTGTTTTTTATTTTTCCATTTACGTTAAATTTAAATATTTACTGCATTAGACATCCTATATTTTTAACTATTTAAAATTAAGTAACATTTTAAATGAAACTATTCTCAGAGGCAGGTAAAATTTTTAATGAAAAGAGAGCTAGTCCAAAACTGGATAGCAACTCTTTTTGCACCAGAATACTTCTAAACATCTTTAAAAGTTTGTACTTTTACCTATATAGGTTAACCTTTAGTTCTTCACTGCCTTGTAGGACAATGATTTTATGATTTAACTCACACAGCCTGTGTCACATATCTTAAAAAAAGTAAAATATTAATTCTGGCATTCTGGCCTGAAATATTGTAATTCTCGCTAGAACCGGAATGATATAAAAGTCACAAACTCCGGCCTGAACGGAATTCTGGTACATTCTTAGTGTATATATACACAAATATATATGCATATATATATGTGTATATACACATATATATACACATATATACACACATATATGTGTATATACACATGTATGTATATATATGTGTATATACACATATATATACATACATGTATATATATGTGTATATATATGTGTGTATATATGTATGTATGTGTGTGTGTGTCTATATATATATATATATATATATATATATATATATATATATATATATATATATATATATATATATATATATATATATATATATATATATATATATATATATATATATATATATATATATATATATATATATATATATATTTGTATGTATATTTATTTCTAAACACAAAAAACAAAACAAAAAAGTCGTAATACATTTTCCAGTATTGTTTATATCAGTAGAAACAATTCCAAGCTGATGTCCTTCAAAATTCCATTTTGATGTTAAACTGTTTTCAGACCTTACAAAAAATTTACATTTTTATCAAATACCAAAACCATAAACAATTAAGAAAAAACAACTATAAACTAACCATTTCCAACATTTTATTAAGTCATCAATGCCACCTGTGATAATATTTTCACATTTGTCTGTTTCATTGGTATGCCAAGATATTGACCAAATACTATCTTCATGAGCTAAAATAAAATTTAATTATTATAATTTTTTGAAAATCACAAAACAAAACAAAACATAAAATAAAAAAAGTATACCATTCTCTATTTTCTGCAAAACGGAATACTAAAACAAAAATTCAAAAAAAAACTTAAAACGAAAGAAAAAAGAAAAAAAGAAAAAAAACTAAATAACTCTTTTTTTAACTAAATTCTCTAAAAAAAAAAACAAAAAAAAAAACAAATTAAAGCTAATCTTTCATAATAAAGAAAATAAAATTCATATTGAGTAATTCCAAATCAAAATACAGAAATATTTGAGTAATTTTAAAATACTTGTCCTCATGTTTTTAAAAAACTTATTTGGCTTAAACATTTTACAAAAAAAGTTAATACAGAAAATTTTAGCCTAAATAGCACGTTTTCAGAGATATTGGAATTTTAATATTGACCTGGTTTCCAACTGACCCTGTTTCCAAGACATTTAAAAAATCTTTTCTGTAAATAAATGAATATTAATGATTGGATAAAAATGAAAATACACATTTAGAATGTTGAGAATTTTGATGCTTCATTTAGAACTTTATAATCTTTGATTCTGCTTCAAATAAACCCTTAATTGATGTAACAGCGTTCCTTATAACCTTGCACTTTCTGCCATTTTCTGTCTGAAAAATTCAATGAAATATGATAAGAACACGCTTAAAAAAATAATAAGTAATTTATTTAACCCAATTTTTTTTCCAATTTCTCAAAACACATCTGTGTAAAAATGTAAGAATTATATCAACTTTAAAAGCTTTTTTTTTTTTTTAATTAAAATTAAGTAGGAAAGAATAAATTTGTTAAAAGAAATTATTTTTTGCTTACTATTCATACCAAGCAAATTTATGTAGATTTGCTCTATTGGCTTAATGACATCATCATGGCATCAATATCTTCATGGCATCAAAGGCATTTGAAGATGCCATTGATGTCATTAAAATATTGATGATGTTTTAATAACATCAACAAGGTGATGTTAAAACTTTTGTTATTAAAGATTTGATGATGTCATTAAGATATTGATGATGTCATTAAAATTTGATGATGTCATTAAAAAATTGATGATGTTGTCATTAAGATATTAATGATGTCATTAAGATATTGATGTTTTAATAACATCAACAAGGAGATATTAAAACTTTAAACAGTGATAAAAAAATTAACACTTTAACATGGAATTATCAAACTTAATTTGTGTGGAAGATATTTTACAAAAAAGTTGAAAATGTATCCTTTATGGCAGAAAGCTTGTTGTGATCAATGTATGTAGAAAGAAAATCACTAGAAAGTAGCTGTATAAATACTGCAAACCCTCTAGACTAAAGATTGCTAGAGGAGAAGATCTTAATAATAGAAACAAGAAGTCAGAACAAGATTTTTGAAATATTTCAAAGTTCAAAGTAACAAGACAGATGATCAACAACGATCTTCAAAGTTTTAAGAAATCTTTTCACCTCACTTAAAATCTTAAATTGATATACATACAGAAGGAAAGTGCAAAAAATTGAAAAAAGAAAAAATTGCATGCATTAGCAAAATGGTAAAGTACATAACATAAATTCTGTCAGAAAAATTATTTGAAATATTAGTATCAAAAAGAATGCCAAAACCTTGGATGAAACTATAGGCTTAATAAAAAAATAAAAAATACATAAAAATAATAAAATTTTCAAACAAAAAACTATTGTTCAAATTCTCTTAATATGGGGAAAATAACAACAAAATAAGTTTGCAGTAACAGAATAATGGCCAAAGATGGCTTGATGGCTTTTTAGTGAAATTTTTTTAGCTAAAAAATCTGCCCCATACGTTTGCTCAAGATTAGGCAGAACTTGTATGTTTAAAAAAGTTCAAAAGGAAAACCTATGACAAACCTATGTTGTTAATTATTACAACTATAGTCAAAATATTTTGTATTTTTAATAATCAACATTCTGTATATTTTTTAGTAACTTTTTGTACTGAAATAAATTTATTTTTAATGTATTTGGAAATATTCTTAGTAATCTCTTGAAAAAGTAGGAATATCTTTGAAAGTATAGTTCCAAATGTTTTTGTTGTTTTTCCACTTTTATTTTTTTATAACAAATAAGATTTCTTATGTTCTATAAAATATGGGAAATTCTATAAAATATGGGAAAAAGTAATTAATTCTAACATAATACAAGTATATAAAAACAACAAATGTAAAATTGCATTTTTTTTAATAAATTTTTCTAATAAAATAAATTTTGACTAGCCAAAATTTTGGTATCGGTCTTGGTAAAATATTTGCCATAATGTCAGTTTTGCACTGAATTTGAGTACCTGAAATTTCCGTTTCAGCTTTTTTTATGTTTCAGTTAATCACTAATATATATATATATAAATACATAGACACATATGCAAATAAAGCCCTCAAAATTAAAAAAAAAAAAAATCGCTAGACCTTAAACTATTTTTGATCGGCATCAGGTCAGCACAAAATTTAAAAAGGTTTCATCATAACAACTTAGAAACCAGGTCAGAAAAAAATTGCCGACCTCAGACACTTTTAGGTCAGCAGTAAGGACACCATTGCTAAGTGCCAACCCTAATTCAGAAGGTGCTAACATGTCTATACTATAATATTAATGAGAATTTTAAAAAACTATGTTTAAAAAAGTATTTACCATGCTGTTTTATGATAAATCAATGAAAAGATTTTTATGAAACTATAAAAAAAAAAATCTTTAATAAAAATCATTTAAAGAGCAAATATAAATAATAACTTATATAAACAATTTTAATAATACCAAAAGTTTATATTATTATTATTATTATTATTAATATTGAATAAAAATTTTTAATCACAGTCTAATAATTAATTGTAATAAATTTGAAAATGAAATTTAAAACAAAGCTAAAATAAAACTTCTAAAATAAATTATTTGATTAAAGGTTTTATTTAACAAAAAACATACATATCATAATAAATAACATGAAAAACATAGTTATATATTTAACAAAAATTTTAACGTAAAAAAGCTAAAAAAGAAAATTGGAGAAAAGAATAAAATAATAAAAAAATAATTTAATAGCTGAAGAATATAATTAAAAAAACATAAATTTAAAAACAGAAAAATAAATAGCGAAACAAAAACAAAAATATCATACAAAAAATATTAAAAAAAAGAAAACACTGTAAATGATAACAGTAAAAATTTATTTCATATTTAAATTAATAATTATTTAAATTATTTGTTAAATCTCAACTTATTATGGTGCTTTGATAGGATGCTTTGTACAAGTAGGGTAGGCTATAGGATGTTTTATACTCGTAGATCTTTTCTTTTTCTTCTTCTTGCAAACAAAAGGTTCACCTCTAATTTCTGAAAGAAGATTTTTTCTTTTAATTTTTTTCTTTTTCACTTCTGATTTCATACCCCCATTAAATTTTATGTCTTTGCTTAGAAAATCTTTTGTTTCATGTAGTTCATTCCCTGTTTGTGGATTTTTAAATTCATTTACAAGATTCACATCATGATGATTCGAACGCTCAAAAAGAGCAACAAAAAATCCATTTGTATAATCAATTGTAGGAACAGCACGTATGCATTTATAAGCTAAAAACAAAATTTTCACAAACAAATAGTAAAAATAACTATTTTTAAACAATTAATACAAAAAATAATGTATCTCACCTTGTTCCCATTCCCCTAAACCTCGGTTTGACCATTCAGGAAAAGCATGGCATAAATGAAAAGTTTCTTTAAAGCGATTATAGGCTTTTTCAACCACATCTTCATTTTCCTGAAACCATTAAAAAATTGTATTAATTAAAGTTATTAATAAAAAAAGGTGCTAATAATAAAAATATTAACAATAAATATTTTCTAAAGTTTCACTTTACAGTAACTTGTCTAACCTACTTTAAAGTGTATGTATTACAAAGTTAGTGTAAGTGTATGTATTTTTATACACATAAAAATATTGCGGATTTAGGTTGGCATATTAACTAATATAATCTGCATACTTTAATATAAATGTTTTTTTTTCATAATAAAAATATCCATGGACCAAACACAAAACCTCAGTTGATATATTTACAAAGTTTCAAAAGATGGCTTCAATATGACATTATCAGCGTTATATATATATATATATATATATATATATATATATATATATATATATATATATATATATATATATATATATATATATATATATATATATATATACATATATGATCAATGACAAAGAGTTTTTTGGGGATACCGTTTTTTTTTGTTTTGAGAGTAAACCCTACCCCCAGTGACGGTGCCGCATCTATGATTTTTAAATATTGTGTTCACATTTTTTACATTTTTATTATTGCGTTTACCTTCTTTATTATCCGAAGATAAGTAGTTGATTTAAAAGAGTATCTCATGTGAAAGACATTTCTTTGAATATGTTATTTAGTGGTAGGCAAACTATTTTATTTAATATTATTTTATTTTATTCTAATAAAGTTTTAAGTTGCAAATACTAAATTATTTGGCAATACTAATTGAAATTTGTTTAAAGCATTTCAAAAATTAGATATATTTTAGTAATTTTAATTTTTAGTTGTTATTAAATGCTAAAAACATTTTGAATAATTTTTATAATTTTTAAAATCATAAAAAGCGTAATATCTCCAAAATTAAAATAATAATTATTTAAACACCTTTTTGCCTTGTTTGCCTTTATTTGCCTTGTTCAATAATTATTTTCTATATATAGCATAATTTATTACATAGGGAATAACTATTTGAATACAAAACATAAGCATTTAGTAAGTGTATTTATTATCATTTTAATTTTTATTTCAATTTAAATGTTAGCAATTCTGTTCATTTAACTTTTACTAAAAGTTATTAATTTTTACAATTTCAAGATGCCTTTAAAAATTAAAAAGTTTGAAAATAACTAAAACTTAATAACTTCAAATAAAAAAAAAATGTTTTATTTTGATGTTTTGTTTTCCTAAAGTTAAATAAAAAAGATAGCTAAACATCAAAAGATCACTTATTCAAAAATTAAATTTAATAATTTAGCAATCAAGAAACTAAAGAATGTTATTAAGGAATTTTGACTTATGTTCATTTATTATTAAAAAACCTTTTAATTGATTAAAAGTTAACTAAAGTTAACTTGACCCAAAATTTGCTTAATCTTTTGAAATAACAAATTTCTCATACGTTCGATTGTCTTCAAATTGAATTTCATTTTTAAACTTTTCAGCTTTCTTTTTTTTTAATCTAACGTTCTACTAATAAATGAATGAACAGTTTTAAAAACTAAACGAGTTACGGAACATAATTACTTTTTAATTCATTTTATTGATCTAAAGAAAAAATGAAAACAAAAAAATAAACAGAATATTAGTTATTTACTACTCCATTTGAAACTTTTTTCCTATTTTATTTAAAAAAGCAAAAGAAAAACAACAAACAAATATTTTTGGGCACTCATACCGCTCAAGCAGTCCCATAAAAGGTCTGGGTTCATCCCTGATAATATAAACACACATATATAATATAAATACAAATACAAAACCATATATACATATATATATATATATATATATATATATATATATATATATATATATATATATATATATATATATATATATATATATATATATATATATATATATCAACACATACTTCTTTGTGAACAGAGCAAGTAGAATAAACAACTTTCTTCACATTTGGAAATTGTAATGCATGACTCAAAGCAGCAGTTTGAAAGCCGGAAAGTGCCTTTAATCTACTATCATTTGTCTAAAAGTTAATTATTATGCTGTTTAAGTACCAAATTTTACTATATACATAGCCAGGCATCTAAAGCAGTTTACAGGTGCAATTTTTTCTCAAAAATCATTGTAACAAGAATAAAAAAAAACATTGTAACTAAAACTTAAAAAAAACAGTCATTTTAATAACTATTTTTAATAATTTTTAAAATGCCTGCATTCTATTGCAATAAGAAAATAGAAAACTTTTTTTATTTATATTTAAGAATATATTCTTGTAATATTGACATAACTCACATAGGCTTGACTTCAATAGCAATACTCTTAAGTGGAATAACTAAGTACGCTTTCAAAGAAAGTAATTAATGTCTGTTCACAAAAAATCCGGAATGAAATATTGTTCTTAATTGAATACAAAATTAATTGATTTTTGACAAAAATTTTAACTAAAATGACAGACTAGACATCGTTAACTATTTTATAACCAAAAGTGGTCCTGAATCAGCGGCTTTTCGAACTTTAGCTTTGACTGAATCCATTAGGTTGAAAAAGTAGTCTGGATTGAACTCTTTCAACTTTAATCGAATTCTATTCTTAAGGTGGTCAAGATTTTTTGCAGTAAATCCATTTCCATAAACATTTGCTTTTAAATGTGCCCAAAAATTTTCAATTGGCCTTAACTCCGGTACATTTAGGGGGTATTCTTAAGCGTCAACAAAATTAATACCTAAAGTGTTTTAAGTTTCTAATGTGTGTTTTGCATAATGACATCTTGCTCCGTCAAGCCAAAATAAAATTTTCATGTTTTGATGCTTGGAATTTATAAATGGATGAAGTTTTTTTGTAATATATTCTTTAGAATAAGTTTTTGCATCCAGTGCACAGTTTTTTACAGCAAAATAAGGCGATGAATGACCGAAACGACTGATTGCAATCTAAAAGAGAACTTTCTTGTCAAACTTATTTTTAAGGTGAATTTAATGTTAGAATCAGTTTGAGAACTATCCTTTGTATAGTAGCCAGAGTTTTGTGAACAAATTTCAACCATTTACACAGAAATAAGATTCATCGTCCATGATGATTTCAAACTCATTTGATGGCTTGAAAAAAGTTTTTGAAAGTTTTAATAAGTTTTTCTTTTGTTTAATTTCTTGCTTTTCTGCTGTTTTTAGTGCATTTTTTCTTTTGGTATACTTCAGTCCATGCATACTTAATAATCTATTTACATATGAAACGCTTATCTTATATTTTAGTGCCAATTTTCTTTGCGAAATCCCGATTCTCTCTTCTGCTCTTGCAATCATGGAATCTATCTTTTCTGGTGTGATTTTAAAAGGTTTTCTGCCGCAACCGATTTTTCTTTTCATTGGTAAATTATTGTCTGACCTTTTAATTATGTCATAAATTGTAGATTTAGCGATTCCCATTTTCTTAAAATGATCCACTGTAAATTTCTTTCCACTGTTTATGTTTTGTTTATAAAATTTCCAATCACATTTCTAACATCGTTCTCTTTTAGATGCTCCATGTTTATTTGAATTAATTATTTAAACTCAATTTTGCCAAAAAATGAAACTGTTGTTGTTGACCAATTAAATTTAAAAATTTCGAATCGAAAATTCAAAATTTAGAACAATTTGTGTACATTTGAAATCAGTCCGGATTTTTTGTGAACAGACGTTATGTTTTAGGATGGTTTTTACATGTTAACAAAAGCATCCAAAATTTTAGTTAAAATGAATGAAATTGTAATTACTTTAAAAGAAACCATGTTTAAACATTATTGCTTTTTTAGTATGCTTTTTTTTTTTAACTTGCTAATTTTTTTTAAAGTGAAGTAAAATTTGCATGTTAAAATGTTGCACTTTAAAATGTTTGAAACGAATTTTCAAGTTTAGAATTAATATATTATATATATTATATAAGTTTAGAATTAATATAAAATATATTAATTCTAAACTTAAAAATTCTTTTCAAACATTTTAAAGTGTTTTAACATGCAAA